CGGCAGCGGGGGAGCCCCTGCAGACATCCCAGCCCCTGGGCAGTCACTCCAGCCTCTCCCTCCCTCTCCCTCCTGTGCCAGAGCCCACCCTCCCTCTTCACAGGGACACGGAGCAGCGAGGGGGGGTCTGGGCAATGCTCTGCACAGGGGTTTGGAGGGGAGCAGCTGGGGCTGCCACGGCACCAGAGGGGTCTGGATTTAGGGAGCAGGGAGGAAACCCAGGCTTTCCAGAGGGACACAATGTTCCTCGGAGTATCTGCTCCCCAGACACGCTGTGTCTCCAGGTCCTCAGACCCGGTGTAAGACACCAAGGGGGACAAAAAGAGAAAGGGAATGCCATGGAAATCAGTACTTAACAATGTCGTCCCCCCCCCCAGCAGCTGCTGGGGGGGCCCTCGAGGGGAGAGAGGGTTTCTGGCAGAGCCAGGCACCCCCTGCTCCTTCCCAGCCCTGGAGCCGCTGCAGAAACCTCGTTTCCTTGGAGAGAAGCTGATTGAGGGACTGTCCCCTGCCCCCCGGGGGAAGGGGGTGACACACACCGATGGCTCCTTTGGGGCGACGGGCCAGTGGCTCCCAGGGAGCGGGCTCTGCCGGGGCTCTCTGCACTTCCCACCCTTCAACTCGCTAATTCCACTCACTGTTACTAATTAACAGGAGCGAGCAGGGCAAGGATTTGGCCTAATCCCCGCGTGGCACCAGAGCGCGTGTAAAGCCTATTGCAATTAACAGGGAGCCACACGGAGGCTTAATGGACTTTGGCTGCAGCCTCACGGGGGGGACACCTGTGAGCTCGTTGCTCCTGGTGTAAGCTCCTTAGGGGCCACGGGGGCTCCAGCACCCACAGCCCCCCCGAGGAGGGGACGCGATGCCCCCTGGCACATCCCAATGTCCCATGGACACCACGCACCCGGGGAAGCACTCACCTGTAAGGATGCCATGGCTGAGCTCGGGAGAAGCCTCAGGAAGCACTTGGTGGCCCCCACTCCTCTCCTCTCCCCTCCGTCCCGGGGACGCAGCGCCGCGGCCGAGCAGAGGGGGACTGGCCCGGAGGATGCAGGAGCATCAGGATCCCCTCTGAGGCAGGAGCTGCTGGGCTGGGCAGGCACTGAGCGGCAGCAGGAAAAGGAGGTGAGGATGCACCCAGCCCCTCCGCACCCCACGGCGCAGGAAACCACCCCGGGACTGGAGCAAAGGAAGGAAGAAGGCGAAACAATGCGTGGGGCAGGACACGGGGCGTGGGGCAGGACACGGGGCTGAAGCGACGGCCGCCAGCCACCGAGCCGGGGTCACCCCGAGGGGCAGCTGGTGATCACTGCCCATCGACAGCCTCCCAGATAAAATATCTTTCCTTCTGCAGGGGGAACTCGGCCAGTTGAGCTCCCCGAGGCTCGTGGCTCCCTGCTGGGTGCCGGGAGGGAGGAGGGGGCTCTTCCCAGTCCACTCAGTGGGGTCTTGTGGTGCCCACTTCCAACCCCCTCCCCTCCAGGCCACCCGCTTCGTTTCCTCCTCTACAATGGCTGGGGCAGCGTCTCCAGGGGGGTAACCCCGTCCCAGGCACACCGAGCTCTGGCCCCTTGAGCCCCACAGCCCCCCAGGGGCTGCACAAGGGCTCCGCACACCCCATCCGCCTCTCCAGGGGTACAGGAACCAGATGGATATTGGCACAGCTCCATCAATCACCCTCTCCCTGGCTCAAAAGACACCCAGATAACAAGGGAGACAAGTCCCCAGCAGCGGTCTGGCCTCACACCCACGAGGTCACCCACACGTGCCCCACAGTGTTTGGAGCAGAGGGTGCTTTTATCTTGAGCGGGTACAAGACACATGTTGCAACCCTTCACCTTGAGAGAGACACAGGCTGTGCTCCAGCAGGGCTTTCACTCCCAGCTCAGCGTGAAATTGCTGTTTGGAAGCAGATAATTAATGCCTCGGGCCAAGAAGAGTTCACCCTTCCCAGGAGGAGCTGGAAGGAGCAGAGCCTTCCCAGCTGGGAGAGGCACCAGGCGCATCCTCTCCTCCCCGGGGAGGCCGAGTGCCACCGGAGCAAAACCCTGGGCACCTTCCACTCCTGCAGCCAAAACATCCCCCACCTGAAACGCCCTGGGCAGGGGACACAGGGACAGGTCTGCCACCGACTGCCACCTCACCTCGCTTCCCCACACGGCGGCCGCCTGCAAACACAGCCAGGAAAAAAGAAAGGATAACTTCTGAATTCAGCCCGGGAGCAGTGAAGGAGGGAAGTGGAGCAGGCTCCCTCCGTGCAAGAGGAAAACCTCTGTGATCCTCACAGGGTCACCCCTTGCCCGAGGAGGCTGGGGCTGGTGGCATCTCCAGCTCCCTGGCCCACCCTCAGCCTGAGTGGCCTGTGCTTGGCCCTCGGGTGGGCTAGCAGGGGGCCCCAGGTGCCAGCCAAGGGGTCACCAGGAGACCCACCCAGGTCTCAGGTACAAACACTGCTCTGCAAAGACGAGCACGCCGACAGCCAAAGGTTGTTTTCGCTCTTGGGGCAGTTTGGCAAAGGATGAACGCATTGTTCGGGCTCAGAACAGAATCTTGGCTCTTCATCTGGGTAACGGCCATGATAAATAAAAAGCAGTGGCTAATTAGCCTCATTAACCCAGTTAACAATACCAGGCACTCAGCAGAGCACCCATCTCCTCACACCCACTTTCCCCCCCAGCTCTGGGGCTTCTCCTCCCCCGGCCTGGGCGAGGGGACCCTCACCCCCCACCTGCCCTCTGTCTGTGTGTCCGTCCATCCGCTCCTCTGGACAGATTCCTCTGCAGGAATCCACCTTCCCAGCTGCTGCCCAGCACTGCCTCCGTTTCCATGGCAACCTCCGCTCACATCATTGCTCAATATTGTTCTTTTCCATGAAAGGAGAGATCCCGCTGCTCCTTTAAATAGCGCATTGTTGGTGGAGCCCCACAGACCCCCCCCCACCCAGCACCGCCCCACACAAAGAACAATCCATTTAGTGAGGCTTTGTGCTTTGGGATAAAAGGGCAGAGGGAGGGCAAGGACCCAGCTGGATCCTTGTCCAGGCACCACCTCAGGAGCCACCAAGAGCCTGGGCACAGTCCAGTCTTTACACACAAGCCACAGCACAGGAGGGTCCCTCAGCCCCCCCAGGAAGGGCCACTCTCACACCCACTGGCACCAGAGCAGCCCCCGGGCAGAGCAGGACCCTGACCCCCTCATACTCTGCTTTCCTGCCATCACATTTGTGATCAAAACCTAGCATTTTGCCTAGAAATAGCTCCCTCGAGCGCAGCCAAGTCCTGCAACGCTTGTGATAGATGTGACCAAAAACCTCATTCTCCCTCCCATCCTCATCCCAGACAGCGCTGTGCTCCTGGCTGGAGGGGTGGGGAATTCACCTGGATGGAGCCCAGGGCTTTGCTGTCCATGGGGAACCCCAGCCCCTGGCCCATGGACAAGGTGAGAAAGCGTTGGCCACGCAAAGAGAAGCCGCTGTGCCATGACCCAGGGGCTGGCTGAATTCTCATTGGGGTGGGGAATTAGCATCCCGTTAACGAAGCGTGTGGACACAGCTCACAAACAGCACAGACCTACTGCAAAAGTGACCTAAAACGAGCCCTTCTGGAGTTCCTCAAGAGGCCCAAAGGCAGGAGGAGCCACAGACAAAAGGCCTGAAGAGGAAAGCTTGTGGCTGGGGGCTGGAATAGCTTGAGCTCTGACTTTGTGGTGCCTGAGCAGAGAGAAGCGGCTTTGGGAAACACCCAGGAACGGGGGAAAAGAAAACAAAAGCAAGACAGGACAGAGTGACACAACAGTGAGCCAGGAATTGTGCAGCCGACAGAATTCCATCAGTGACCTTCCCAGAGACGTGTGTGAGCTCGCAGGGAGCTGCAGCATCCAGGAGAGAGAAAGCTCTCTGTCTCTGACACCGAGGGGCCAAAGCCAAGCACAACATGTGTCTGCCCAGGAACTGGCACACACAGGGCACCCGCCAGCACCAGCCCCCCCGTCAGCTCCAGCTCCTCTCTCTCCAACAACCAGTTCTTTACCACCCATTTCAGCCCTTTTTGCCACGGGATTGAGACACGGATGGGAGCGTGGGGAACTGTAACAGCCCCCAGAGGGACATTAAATCCCTCAGCCCCAGGGGCAGGTCTCAGCACATCCCCCTGCCCCCAGGGCACCACCACAGAGGTCACTGCCCCAGGAACTCCCAATGGGAACAGGAGGGGGACCGACAGGAGCGCCTGCTCTCAGGGTCCTGGCTCTCAGGAACAAGCCTTTAAAGAATTCTCCAACAAACAGGGTGAAGTGTGTTCTCACTACTCACAGACCGGGCAGTGATCCTGGAGGAACAGAACCTGCTTCACCCAGGGGAGCTGGGTGGATGGGCTGTCACCACAACTCCTCGGAATTAAGCAGCAACACGGCGTCTCCAAGTTAATCTTGCAGAACTTTACACTACACTTGGCTCACACCCGACAGGACGCCGTCACACGGCAGCGACCGATGCAAACACAAATATTAGAAGCAACGTTTGAAATTAAAAAAAAAAGTTTATTTGAAGATTTGTAAAACAGCTCTGTGAAAGACCAACATTTTCCAGGACACTACAATATGATAATACGCTTTCCTATGGTTAGAATATAAAAAAAAGTCACAGTCCTTCAGCTACCAAGATAAAAGCATACATTTATGGACCAAACATTTCACTTCCAACACTGAGAAAGTGAGTGGGTTTGAAAGTCAGACTCATGGATAGCACCGACTGGGGTGAGCACCCCCCTCACGGCCCCGAGAGCCCGCGGCTGTCGTTACCACGCAATGAAGCCAATTAGTGAAGCAAACCTTAACGTCAGAACAGACCCACGAGCACGGACACGTTCACACACCGAAACATAACGCATTCTTTTACGTCCCACTGATGCAAACCACAGCAGCAAAGCCAGAAACACCAAAGAGCTCCCGTTACACTCCAAGCCCCCGTTTGGGGACAAGAAATCTTCAGAACTTACAAATGCCGGTTCCACGTGAAACACACAACTTTATTCACTCTCCATGTACATAATCTGTGCAATAGAGACCTGTGCAGTAGGAAGGTGAAGAACAGGATGCAGACAGTACGACAAGGATGGGGTTCTCGGGTGGCTGGAAAGCAGCAGAGGATTATACTGCTTTCCGATGGTACTCGGGAGGGGCTACTTCATAGTCACTGGCACTAAACAAGGCAGAGGAATTCTTTGCTAAATACCTAGGAAAAAATAATAAAGATTAAATTATCTTCTTGCCCAAAGACTCTGCTGTTGAGCATCACACAAGTGATTTGTTAGAGGAGTTTGCTGAGACCATAACACCCAATTTCAAGAGTAGAAAACCAACATGGATCCACTACAGTCAGCTCTGTAAAACAATTAAAGATTTGACAGCTCATTAAATAAATAATAAAAATCAATTAATCCATTCCGATCAAGCACTTGTGTTTTTTTCAGTTACCCAACAGACTACGATCAACTCAAGACTCAGGGACTATTCCTGACAAGTCTGCCCTGGAAATCAGGCCCATCCATCTCCAGCTCCGCTGCAGAGCTGCCTTGGATTTGTGAGGGTTTTTCTTCCAACTTCCAGCAGTGTATGCACAGTCACACCGAGGAAAAAGCTGGCATTTACTGGCAAAACAGCTTAACACTTTGTTCCCCTAATTATTTACAAACCAGTATTTCCAAACACTATCAGTAGACCCTTATATGAAAACACACAGGACATTTCTCCTCTCCGTGACAATCACAAATGGAAGTTTAGGGCTTTAGTCTGCTCTCCCAGACACACAGGGGAACACAGGTCTGACACCCCGGACACTGCAGTTTAATTCCATTTGAGAATCTCACTTTCAGGGAAGATTTAGAGGTGAGCCAAGCAGCGAGTGATCCACAGCTCCTGAGATCAGCCAGAGAGCCTTTCAGACCTGCCTGAAACCAATCACCTAACGGGTTTAGTTTTTTCCCCCAAAAAAATTGCACATTAAAGTTTTGTATTATTTAGGATGGGGTTCTGATCCTCAACATAATGTCTCCAGCACCACAGGGCACTGCAGGCACTAGACCTACAACAGCAGTGTGTCCCAGCACTACCAGGAGTAAGGACCATCAGTTTTTAACACTTGCTCAGTTGTGGTTGAGGAACTGCCGTGTGCTTCAGCAGTTTGCTGTAACTGCCATCTGTTTCTTACAGCAGCCACAAATAAACATTGAAGCATTTATTCTGAAACAAGTAGCAGGCGTGGACAGTTTAAAAGTGCAGACTAACAGATGCATAAACACACGGCAAATTAGCAATAGCCCTGGTGTAACTGGAGAGGAATGAAAACCAGTCTGAGTCCTGTCCCCGTACAGCTGAGTCTGAGGAAGCTTCACTGCCCCCTCCAGCCAAGATGCCACACACGGGCCCAGGATTTTATATTATATATGTTAAATAACAACTGTTGACATTACAGTAGCCTGTGCTTACTACTTCTTTCTTGCTGAAATACTTAGGAAGTACTTACTTTAAGAAGTCATGCAAATAGTTTAACAGCAAAGCCAGGCTCTTCTCGTCCAGAGGAGTGTAAGCCAGCATAGCCCCGATCCGAACTGTTCCAAGAGAAGCAGCACTTGTTAATTACAATAAACAACAACTTCAGCAGGTATTTAAGAACAGTCTAAAACCTTGCAGCAGCAAATAAAGCAGCCCAGGAATCTATTCCAATACACACAAGCCCACCTAAAATAACCAGACTGTTGAAAATCCATTTCCATCCTAACCTCCTGAATGAGCTTTTTAGGCATGTGGAGTAAGGAAAATGAAACCATGTTTCACAGCTGCTTGTCAAATTTCTGCAGTTCACACCCAGAGTCAGGAAAAGGCAGCGTTTGAATGCTTCTAACTGCTCTCCAATCTCTAGGTGTCGTACTCACCAAACAACCTCAGTAGGTGTGGGGCACCGTAGACTTGAGACATTGGAGCATCTGGGTGATCTGCTAAGATTTCAGCATATTGGGGCCTCTCAAACTTGTACAGCAGCTGAGTTCCCAGCATGACATTGAAGTATTCTTTGATTCCAGCCACCACCTCATTGACCGCGTACTCCCTGGTGAACAGAAAACACCACGAGTCTTCTTCTAGCACCTGGACAGACACAAGCTGAGGCTTGGGGAGTCCATCAAACTCTGAAGGCTTCTTAAAGTTCTTTAAGATTTTTCAAGGAAATTTGTCTGGAGACCCTAAAACGTACAGCTGCAGGGAGTGATGCATTTCAAGACCTCCTTTAAAAACGGACTGTTCCGAACTCAGTAAGAATTTAGGCAAAGCAAGAAAAGCCTTGTTTTTAGTCATTTATTTGTGTAAAGAAACTAACTCTTAGAGCTGTCCTTTCAAAGCAAGAATTTCCAAGGACATTTCCCAACTCTTTTCTTTTCAACCAGAGTTAACCCAACTCACAGCAGTTTAAAAGCACAAGACTACAAGGGATCAGACCGAACTCCTGCTTAAGGCAAGGGGACAGTCACCCAACATTTCAGGCAACTGACCCTTTCTCACTCGGCCTCTCAGGGCCATATTCCCACAGCCTCCAATTCCCAGCTAACTGGAGAGTGACTGCACAGGAATCAGCAGTGACACTGCACATCTGAGAAGTACAACCCTCACTCCACCCTGCAAACAATGCAAACAAGTTCAGAACAGACATTAGGACAATTACATGAAAGAATGATGAAACACCCTGCCAAGTCAACAACGTGCTTCCTCTTGAATAGAAAGAGATAACTTCACGTTTCTAGTACCTCTCCCTTCAAAACAGGAAAGATTCATTCAAGAGTAAAACACACCTTGTTTGTTGCCAGGGCCGGACTACTGGGGTAATTACAAATAGGAATCTTCAAAGCTATCAAAGTAATTAGCTGTGTCCATCTGATTCTTTTAAAAGTCATCATCTACCTCCCTGTCCCCCCCAGTAATGCTTTGCTCATCAGCAGGCACCTCTTTGAGAGGTTTGTTCAGCTCATACATAGCAAATGCCACTGAATTTATTCACCCAACATAGAAGCCTGAGCCAGAATGAAGGGACGGAGAACTATTCACTTGGTTTCTATCAGCTTCCTTTAAGAAAAGGCTTAGGAAAAGCAGAAATAACACCCTGAAAAGCAGGACTGCATTTCTGAGTTACCCCCTCAACGATTTCTAGGCTCCTCAATCACCCTGGGCTTGGAACACAAAGCTGGACCTAAAGGTAGGACACATTTAACAATCTTACTAAATTTCCCATAAAACAAGAGCCCAACAACAGCAGCAAAAGTATTTAAGGTTTGAAGTGACCACTACTTACTTGTTATCAGTATTTCCTCGTGATTTTTTGTAGTTTGCATAATCCTCCAAAATGGAGTCAACATTCTTCTTGGCAGGAAGATAGAAGAGCTACACAAGAAGCAAAACCAAACAAACACAAATTGTCTTAATTTATGCAAACGTTTACATCTGCATGCTACATTTAAATCAACATACACAACAGCATTTCTAGAATAAAATTAACAGGTTCAGATGTTAAGTGATACTAAAGGAACACCCAACTGTTTCAGTTGTGCATAGCAAGAAAAAAAACCCCTGTAACAGTGACTATACCCGTGTTTCCATTTCACATTTGCTCAACAGCAACCTGATGATGAGCTGCTAAAGTCACCCCAAAAGTCCAAGGGACAGAGCAAAGCACACACCGCCCCTACAGACCTGTCACTGGGCCATGTCACAGTCACAAAGGTGGTTTTGAGGCATGGAAACACTTCACTCATCTCTTTCATAAGTGCTCTGCAGTCTGAAGACAAGTTTACATGCAACTGCTGAGCCACCATCCCGCTCACAGGAGACCTCTGGTTAAAATTTAAGTGGAACAAGAACTGGCAAGAAGCCACCAGGCTGCTGGCAAACTCTACAAGAGATTTCACTACGCAGCACTTGAAAAGGATATGAAATCCCAGTTTTAGTGCCCTTGCCTATAGGTGGCCAGATTGTTCTTCTGACAAGTTACCTGCTTTTGCCTGGTGATCAAGTCCCAGTCATCTACCAGCCACGGCTTCAGCTCTTCGGGGATTTTCACCTTTACTTCAACTCTGTTCATAAATGTTTCTTCCTAAAAAAAAAAAAATAAAAAATGAGTGAAGCCAGACCAATGACTTTCAGACAACCATCCAAGCTAAGAGTCACCCATATTCCCTGTTTTCACAGCTGAGACACATCACTGAACTGTAGAATTACTACAGTAACTCCTGTAGGCTCCACAGGGCACAAGCTTCTTTTTTCTCAAATAGCTTCTTTTTCTCAAGGCCTCTTGGGAACCTTCATTTTGCAAGTTATAGCATCTCCCACTGCAGGACGGAGCACTGCTCTCTGCATTCCTGAGCAACGCAACCTGCCTGTCTGCTCTCCAAAATCCTGCAAGAATCAGAAATACCTACACTTTCAACCGTTGGATCTACTCGCGCCCTCTTCTTCCGGGGCGGCTGAGGAGTCTCACTGGAGCTGCTCCCTTCCCCGATCCCCGGAGCTGCACAGAAAGGAGACATTACCCTGCTTCAGAAATCGGGTACCTCAGTGAGAAATACCAGCAAAAAAAAAAAGATTTAGAAGGATTTAAAAGACAGACTAATATTTCTCTTAGGGCAGCTTTTCACTTGTGGTTTTTTTTTGTTGTTTTTGTTTTAAGTATTTCTTGTATTCTGGAAGTTCTGCATATTTGTGACAGTTGTTTAAGGTGCTATATTTACACTGATCTGAAATGGCAGTTTCTGCATCAAAACCAAACCAATCTGTCAGTGTCTGTAACATCCTTCAGCAGAACTTTTGGAACCAGCAGCTCAGCTTCGCAGATCTGTCACCTCTCCATCTCAATAAGGAAACAGAAGTTTGACTTAAGAGATTTTATCTCAACAGCCGCATGGTGATATCACTTTGCTTTTAATTTGCAAGAGGTCAAATTCTTGACAGACTGAAACAAGTAGTTTGTGTACAAACCGGAAAAGGATGAATTCCTCCCAAGAAGAAGAAGGGACATCTGCAGTCCAAGAGGAACACCACAAGGAGATAGTAAATAAACTTAGCTGAGGCAGATGCAAGATCTTATTCTAGCTAAGTAAGAATCCTTCACTAGGGATATCCACTTATATACAAAAAAAAAAATCAACAAAAACATACTTACTTTTCTGTTTGTTCTTTTTTGTTTTCCTGCAAGAAGAACACAGATTATTGCAAATATAGAGACAGCACTACCTAAAGAATCGAAAGCACAAAGCCAGAAAAATTGTCCACTAAGTTGAGAACGATGAGGGAATGCTCAATGGCCTATGGAGTGTTTAGATAAAGCACAAAGAAACATCAGATATGACTTAGCATCAGTTATGATACTACAGGGTTTTCATGCAATGGGTTACAATTCGCCCTTTTGGGGGGAAAATCACTAAATTCAAACCTACAAAGCCCCAGAAGGCCATGAACATGAGTATTTGAAAATTGTACTGACTGACACTTAGACAAGTAACATCTACAGATGTTTTATACTTTCCAAGGGCTCTTGGAAAACTACATTGAATTTGTTTTATTTCTGTATTTCAGGAATCACTTAAAGACAGAATACAGGACAAGGAAACAGCAGTGCTGGGAACTATCAGATAAATCTCAGTCAACTGAGTTACCTTCCAATAAAGTACTGGAAAAAACCCACACTTTTTTGCCACTAGAGCAGCAGAGGGCAGTTTAAAGAGCATTATGGGAATTACATGCACGAGGCCACATGCACTGCCTACAACCCCATCAGCAACCTTTAAATGATCTCACAATTACACTTCCCACTTATTAGAAATGTTTGGAACAGTACTAAATAGTGCTGTCACTTATATTTATCTTCTTCCAAATGCTTCTCTCAACACTTACTGTTTCTGATTTACACACTTGTCTAAAATATCTATCCTTAGCCCTTATTTTTATTCCAAATGAAGAACTGTACTTCCAAAAATGTTAAAGACACTTGAAATACAATGTACACGAGATGTAAGTATTCAGAAAGGTCAGGAGTACCAATGACAAAATTAAACTACCCTAACAGGTATTTTTATTATTATCTGAACTTTCAATATTTACTAACCATTTTCAGAAAGTTTTAATTAAGAGTACTACTAGTCTTGTTTCCATTTGCTCACTATTAGTAGGAGTCCAGTTAAACCTCTCAAAAAATTGCAGATCGTGTGGATAAAACTCTTTACCAGTACAAGATTATTTCCTTTGAAATTCACCACTATCTCAAGTGACTCTTGTGCTCAGGCTTTGAACTGGGTTTATTCGGGTCAGGAAGAAGCAGAGATTCTAGGAAGGTCTGAAGATAAGAAGCGTGAGGCTTTTTTCAAGCTTCAAGTCACAAACAAGCACCAGGCTTAAAGTGTGGGCAGAATAAAGATCATCTCTCTCCCGGAAGAAGGAAAAATTGCCAAGTCAAGTCACTGATAACAGACTTGTCTATTGAAGCCTTTTCTTCCAAACCTAGAGTAAACAAGGGGGAACAAGGAGTTCTTTCCAGAATTAAAATCCTAATAATGTTAAGCATTAGTCTAGAAGCAGAGTCTTCAAAAACTGGGGCAGACAGGCAATATAAAGAACTCAGAGAGTAAATCACGTTTATGTTACTGAAGCACAGAGTCCAGCATAAACCATTCCAGGCAGGTGCTTCTGCCCTCCTACCTCATTCCTGATTCCTTGTATTTCGAGTTATTTGCCTCTGCTTCAAGTCAAAGCAGCCACATGTTTGCAAGGTCTAAAAGACAAATCCGAGTTCATCAGGAGAGAGAATTAAGTATCTGCCACAGAACCCTGGGTAGCACCTCAAGAGCCAGCAATCTCAGCACAAGGGAGTTGGTGTTAATGCTCAGAGCTCTAAAGCAGAATGAATTCTGGGACGTGTCTAGAGAACTGTCAGTAGAAAATAAAAATAGAATTCAACACAGACAAATGACATCAGGAAAAATCCCAAGATTTTGGCAGGTTAACTTACTCCACAACAGTAAGGAGTCCATGACCAGGTAGATAAAAAGTGTTGACCAGGCAGATAACAAGTGTTTTACTTTCCAAAAATCAATGTGCCCTTTAAAGGGACTTAAGTAGTCTGTTCTAACCTCCCTACAATAGCTGGTTAAGATACAAGCAGCAAAGAACAAAGACAGCTACCACCTGGTCTCAGGCATTTGAGTTCAAGACATCTGTAAATGCCAGAAAAAGGAGATCAGGTGCCGGTTTACTACTGAAACAACAGTTGTAGCTAAACTGTAAGAAATTACAAAGTCTCTCCTAATATAAGGTGACTAGTAATGAAAAAGTAAATTTAAAAATTCAAGTGTGAAAAGAAGCATGTTGAAAAAAAGTATGAAACTGCTCAAGCAGCTTGGTCACTAACTCAGCTGTGAGAAGAAGCATTCCCATGAAGGTTTAGTTAAACCATTGACCATTCTTAGCAAAAGCATAAAAAGTGAAGTCAGGGTTACATACACATATGCCTCCTGTGCCGGGTCAGGCAGCCTGACCTTAGGAGGCACACAATCAAACTAGAAGGCATAAAGAGAACAAAGACAAGTTGGTCATGCCCAACACGTTCCACCCCAGGAGTAACCAGGCAAACAAGGGCTTTCTCAATGCAACAACTGGGCAGGAAGAAGATGGGGAATACGGTAAAGGTATCACTAGCAACAAAAGGTGAAGCTCAAAGAACTAATTAATCTTTCCTCAAGAGAGACAAAAAAAGACCAAAAAACCAAAGCAGCAGACATTAAGAAACCAGGAGTAATCTTCTTTCCTCCCCTCTTCAACACAGTACTCAATTAAAATGAGAACACGCTGCCACAAGATGATGGGGATGCCAGAAGTCCAAATGGTTCAGAAATTATAAGACAGCCCTGCAAAGGGTTATTAAACCCATCATATGCATACGGCCTACAGCCCTGAAGCCCCTTAATTACAGACTGCTGGAAACGAAAAGGGTATTTGGGGAGAACAACATTCTAGACTTGATTATCCCCAGACCTGTGTTACTGGTGACCAGCAGCCAGCAGAGGAGGTCAGGGAAAGGACCTGGCTGGGGCCGGTGTAGCCATTCCAGCAGCAGGAGCATGTGCTTTTGAGTAATACGTTCAGACTAAGAGTAAGACTTATAAGGAAATAAAAAAGTAACTCCCAAGTTGAGATACTGTTTTGAGAGCATCACTGATGAGACTGCTTGGATATATATATATAATTTAAAACCAGATGCTATTCTCAAATTTGTTATTCAGTGCTGTGTCTTCACTCCAGAACACTCTCAGTTGCTCTTATTTTCCAAGCATCCTTTAACTCTGAACTCTGTTCACTGATTTTTTTGCTAGTTAATCATATTAGGCACATGAAAGCTAGCAGAAACTCAAACTGGAATTCAGCAGAACTACATATAAAATTGGCTGGAGAAGCCACTATCTGTAGCCTTGTATTTCATTTTTGGCAACCTGCTATAACCATACATTTTTTTCCTATGATAGCTTCTAGTTATGATTAAGATGAATAATTATTTTACAAACAAATGTATACAAGCTGCATTCCATGCATATTTCTCTTTTCCTCAAATACTGCTTACAAATAGTCTCAAAAGCTTTTTGAGCCACTTGCTGCAATTTACAGAAAGAGTTATTCTGGACAGACTCCAGCCAACAATAAACATACAGGACATTGAGGAACAGGTTCCAGTTGCACATTTCTAACACATCCATGGCAGCCACCTGGCTCCTGAGCCTTACAGGAAACAGGGCTTTGCTCCCCATTTCCATGGAAGCAGAACTCCAGACCAGCTGCAACCTTCTAGAACTGTCTACTCTCAAAAATCTGAACACAAGTGTCCTTCGCTTCTTTTTAAAGAGTGGACACACTGAATGCATTTGCCTACTCATATTGTGCACTACCCCGTCTGAAAAGGTACATATTTCAGAGAAACTAGAAACTGGTACTCCATCCTGGCTTCAAATACCCCAAACAAACCACACACTGCAGTACTTATAATACTTAACTGAAGTGCTACCCAAGCTTACATCATTACAACTGAAGACTTTAAGAGTCTCTAAAAGAAATCTACAAAAGCAAGGAGATTTGGATTTCAGGATGAAAATCCTGGTTTGACAATCCATCCTTAACTCACCGCGTCGATATTGTAGGGGTCTCCAAACAGCAAACAGTATGCGCTCCATCTCGTCTGAAAAATCTAGGCACAATGGGGGTTGAGTTAAGGAAAGAATGTCAGACCTCGTGTTTAGCCTTAAAGAGAATCTATTTAAGATTCAAAAATTTACCTTTTTAGCAGCATTTTATAGTCTTACTGAACATTCCTGGAGGATAAATTGTGCTTAGATTGTCTTTTCCTGTCTGTTATTGTTTGGCTATCCAAAGAATAAGTGTCAATATACAAGATACCTTCCCCTCTGTTCAGTCCTCCAAGAATGCTATAAAAGGTAAATTTTGAGGCCTAAATAGGTTGACAGCGTTACCCTCTTAGAATAGTTGCGTGATCAGTTTCTCCCCCTCCCCACCACCAGTACTTTATGTGTCTGCGATGATAGATTTACAACAGAGAACAATCCAGAAGTTTTACTTTGCAGGTGTATTTTGAGATTTTTCAGAAGCCATCTTGCCTTTAGCTGTAAGCAGAATCTGAGCAGCACCAGTTTGGTCAATCGCTGCGAGGGTAAACCAAAGTATTTCCTCTCCCTTGGCCTCCAAACAGTGAAGAAAAACAGGGAGACTTTGTAGAAAGAAGCACAAGTGTAATTTAGAAGGATGCATTGGATGCTGGTAATGGCTAGAGACTAGGAGCAAGATCAGTGCAACAAGCGTATGAGACCCTGTCATAACCAACTGCCACAATGCAAGACTGCTGTTCTAATGACAATCATTTTCCTTCTTCCCCTTTACAACTCTGAAAAGCCACCACCAAAGAATTAATTTTTCCAATCAACATGAAACAGAAGTTTCAGAGAATTAGGTTACTCTCTGTTCTGCTATGCTGGAAACCACCACCCCTGCTCAGGACAGCGATGACAGCAAAGAACACAGTCACTCCCTTTCCCCAGCTGGTTTCAAACAGAGAGTAAAGACAGACCTGGTAACATGCTTTCGAGCTTTGGAGTTACACAGAGGCTGAAGAAGGCATTTGTGCTGTGTGGGTCTCCCTTGGATGCGACATTACTAGGTGTGGTTGAGAGGATTAAGCCAACTTTGATTTCAAGCACAGGTCAACACTGAGCGTTTATGCAGCCAGAACAACTCATCCCAGCACAACCAGCCTGAACTACCAAGATGACTAAAGCTGACAGAATGGGGAACCTAATCCTCAGGTTACTATTGGGATGTTCTCTATAAAGCAAATTATAGACATTCACAATTGAGTCATCACTACCTGTGTCAAAGTTACACAGTAATCCTACTCCCACTGAGGAAAAAGCAAGAGGACTCAGGTGCAACAATCTCCCAAGCAGCTGAATAAGCAATGGTCATAATTTAGATCTGCTTTAATTAGATTTTAATGAAACACATTAGGAACTGTGTAAACAGACATTTGGTTTGCGTTTTTTTTTCACCCCCGATGATGACACCCAGGTGAGCAGGTCCCTGGCAGAGGCTGGTCCTGAGCTGACAGAGCACACCAGCACCGCGGTGGTGAAGCACCTCAGAGCCCACCACAACAGACCCCAGGGACCACGATCGCAGCATTACGGCCAGATCCATCTACTCCCCAGAGACAATTCACAGCCCTGGCTGGGCTTTGACTAACGCTACAGTGACATCTGCATTCAGGACCAGAGGAAAAAAACCACTGTACCCACTACCGCTGCACTTCTCCAACCAATGATGCATCTCTCAACACAAGGTTGCCCATAAATGAGACATGAAATCTGAGGCTGCTGCCAAATGCTCCTCTTAGGAACTGATGTCGTTTCAGCAGCTTCCTCACGAGGACCAGAATCATAAATGAAGTTCAGAGTTCAAAACATCACATTGGTAATGACCCTCTCCATGGTGAAGTGAAGCGCTACCCCAAGCAGGAGAGTCTCATGGCACATGAGCAAAGCAGTAGAGCTGCACTGATGTATGAGAATCTAAACCTAACACCAAACAAGCCTATTCTGAAAAACAAAAAGGATGGAATGAGAGAAATCTGACAGTTTGCAGCCTGAATTTATTTTTTTTTCTACTAAATGTCTGAGCTTGCTTCTGGTCTCTTAAGATGCAAAACCATTTTTAATAGCATATGGGTTTAGTTTTTTTCAAAAACAGCAAAACAAAGGCTCTTTAAATGCAGTTTTAACAATTGTACAGTGAGAAGGCAAGGCATTTTAAGGATTTTGTTCAAGAGTGCTTGCACAGCTTGGAAGAACTGTAAAATTCTATACAGAAACCGATTTCACGGAGATACACGAGTCTTACAAGGACTCACCACTTTTTGAGTGTCAGTTCACTAACTGAAGAGGAACAGAGTACAAGAAGAGTACAAGTGTTAGTGTCTTCTCAGGCCCTCAATTCTGTATTAAATACTGCACGATCTAAGGTGGCAGTTTTAATAAAGTACTTCAACAAAAGCCTTTTGATATCACAAAAGCGAAACAACTTCTGCATGGGTTGTGTCAGAAGTAATGCAGTTTCGCCTGCAGAACCATTCTAAGAAAAATACTATTTCAAGATCAATAGTAAAACTGACAAGCAAAAGTCTGGGAGTTTTTTAGGGTAGGGTTTTAGGGGTGGGTTGTTTTGTTTGTGGTGGGTTGTTTTTTTTTTAGAATAAAAAGCTTCTTACACTTCAACATTTTTCTGCTGCAGACCAGAAGTCTTCTTGCCTGGAGCAGCACCTCTCATCTTCCCCTCTGCATATTGTTCCCTTTAAAAAGAAGAAATTCATAAATAAGACTTTAATGGAAAAGGAAGCTTGTTTTCTCTGAAAGGGTAACAGTTACACAAAACATTTAGAGAATGTCCATTAAATGGCTTTGTAAATCAGTATGTCATGAGCATGAACAAATTCAACTCAGTATCAAGATTTAGGCTTCTTCATATAACACTTAGCAGTATGAACTCATTTCCTCCCCTTTCACTGCTTCTGAAAAATAAAAATATAAACCAACTTCTCAATAATTATATTAAAGAAATAGAAGATTAGCATTCCTAAAAATCAAAGTATTTGTAGGCATCCTGAAGCCGCATGAGAAAACAAATAATGAAGTGGTAAGAATCTTCAGGATACTGCACAAGGGCCCTTTTTAGTCACGTAATTTCCCCCTCAGAGGAGGTGCCCATTAGCCAGGCTGCCTCTCCATTCCATCAACCTTCTCTTCCCTAAACCCTCAAATCACCATTGTAAAAACAAGTAACAGCTTGCTCGTTCTAAACTGCTAGAGGACAAAAATCATGCCATCTCTGTAAGCCAAAGCATCACCAGAATAAATGAACATCATTTTTTTTTTTAATCTCACTAACTCTTCTTAATACATACTTCTTGGATTGAAGCTCTATAAAAAAAACATATAAAAAAACTGACCAGGACTTCTAACACTTACTGATTGGCCTTCTGAAGTTCTCATTAAAAAAATGACCGGGACTTCTAACACTTACTGATTGGCCTTCTGAAGTTCTTTTTGTTTCTGCAAATTGGTATCCACGTACTTGAGCACTCTGCTTTCTGGAACCCATTCATCCCAGCTGAAAAAAAAACCCCAAAACAATCAAACCGTCATTCAAAACCATGACATAATTGCATTCTATACACAAACGTCAATTAAATCTTCACAGAATTGGAGCCTGAACTTGGCTTTTGTGTCAAGTCATGGACTGGCACAACTGAAGGTGTGAGTCACCAAACGCATTCCCCACTGACTGAAGCTGTAAGGGTTTTTCTAGGGAAGTGTAACCCTCAGTCATTTCCAGAGTTTCCCAAACTTGAAGGACAGGCAATATAGGAAGGAGGGGACTGTCTTTAACTTAAAAGAAGCATCTCAGGAGAAAAAACAAAATAAACTCTACACTTACTAGATTATGGGACACCTGTAGCCATAAGTATATTATGAAGCAAGTTTTCTTTATCTATTCCAACATTTTATAGGTTAACAAATTCAGCAATAAGATCTTACTGTAAGAAGAAGAGCTCTGATTTCTGTCTGTGAAGGAAACCAAGATGGCATGAATATTTGAAGAATCTGAAGTGAACGATTTAAGAGAACAGGTGTTGGGGAAATTGCCATTACGAGCAAGAATTCCACTTTGACAAAGAGTGGATAATCTGAGCAATCTGAAAACTTTTTTCAAATAAAACACATTAAAAGTGGCCAAGTTATTCTACGCAAGTTAAAGCTTTGCACATGTAGAGTTCTGTGTCGTTTTTCCATTTCATGGCAATAGCTGCCAGTCTTGGAACATCAAGATGGCAAAACCAGTACTACTTACAGGAGTATGAGGTCTTCAGGAGTGTTAAGACAAGGCCAGCTTAGCACCCAAAAGTCACAGAGAAGCACATGCCCAGCTGTACACACACGTTCTAAGACTACGATTTTAGGATAGTGCTTTGGTCAGACATTTAAGCCACTTATCTTCATCCTGCCTGTACAGCTGCAAGAGACCTTCAGAAGAAGTGCTATATAACCGTGCGGCACGTTACATTGCATGAGGAGGAAACTTTTTTGGTATCCTAACTGTTGATATTTGCAAAAAACAAATACTATTAAGACGTCAAGCAATTAACAAATAACAAAGGACCATAATTATAGAAACCAAAATTAAGAGTCATATTGCCCCAGTTGTCTAATCTTGCAGCAATGCCACTTTTAATGTAGTTAATTGGAAGCTTGAAGGCAAAAAAACTCAAACAGCACAAGCAAGAAAAGCAGGAGTCACGACATCACTTATGGCACCCTTCATCAGAGATAAACACAGGCAGGAAGTATCAAATTTATGCTGCTTCATTAATATACAGCAGCCACCATAAGAACCAATTCCACTCCCTTTAACTGTCGGTGTTTACAACAAAACATTTATCTGTCCATTTGGCAGGACGGGTGCACGGATGCATTTTAAAAAGTTATATATTAAACATGAAGTTCAGCTTTTAGTCACGTCGGTGAGATCAAGACAGCAGTGACTCAGAGCCTTCACCCCAGAGCCTGCAGCACTGAAATGAAACAAAACCAAACCAAACAGGAAAAAAGTGCTCTCTGAAAGGCTTGGGGAATCTGAAGAGCTGAAACTTTTAATCAGTAAAAAAAAAACCCCTCCACTTTTCCTAAATTCAAAAGCTAGTGGCAGAACAGAATTCAAGTGAAAGAAAAAAAGGCAAGTACATAAATGCAATAATCTCAAAGTATTCACCTTTAATGGGCTGAACAGTTATTTCATGGAGGCACCTTTATTCTTCAGAACACTCTCACCTAGAACCCTACCATTTTGGCAGGAGAGAAAAGCATCTCTAACTCTGCCTTAGCGTGAGAGGCGAGAACTGGAATACAGGCTAAACCTGCTCCTGTGGGGGACTGAACAGCCTGTCCCCCTCTGAACACAGACCTCTCCAAGGCACACTTCTCCAAAGCTTTGCTACCAAACCTTCCTGGAAGGAGACTGAGTATTTGAATAGAGAGTTTTGCTCCACCTCAGCAGGGGTTGCCTCTCCTACCAACACGTAACAAGGAAGTTTTCTGTACTAGGTATTTCTGCCAGGGAGGAATTCCAGTAACTACTTTCAAACTTGAGCAAACAGAAAGCATAAAGCATCCCCATTGCTCTCCTGACACCCTACGCCAGTTTGTCCGTGCAACCAGAGCTCTGAAGGAAACGGTTACTTTGGCAACATTTTCTTTGTGTTACTATAAATCATTGGCTTAAGTATAAAAATCATTTAGGTCCATTTCAGAAACAATCATCTGATGACATGGACACAGCAGTGCCAGTCCACCGAGCCCACATTCAAACTGACAAAGCCTGCATTTTCCCCAGAAAAAAAAAAAAAAAGAAAATCCTGCTTTCATTTTATGCAATACTTACTTTTTATTCCAACCACTGTAATGGATAAAGTATTTCACTTGCTTGTCCTTTATGGCAACCTTTACACACTGGAACAGAGAAGAAAGTTGAGTCAGTACCCCTGAGAACAAAGGCATCTGAGCAGGTTGTGCTTTTCCAGCTGTCACAGTTGCAGCATGCAGGGACTCCATGCAGGCCACTGAGAGACCGGCAGCGATTCCACAGCAGAAAGTGAGATCTCTGACAAGTTACTGCCTATTGATGGATTTGGAAGGGGTAGGCAAACAAGCAGCTCTGCTCAGCTATCCAAAAGGACACCTTTGTTCCCGAGAAGGACCAGAAAGGCCTGAGGATGACGGGATGACAAGCGGTCCCTTCCCTCGCCCAGTTCACCCAAAGCCATTCACTGGAGCTGTTCACATGCAGGGCCCTACCTCACGGAAGGCAGGCTGGCTGGAGCAGGGGAGGCTTCAAAAGCAAAATAAATGACATGGATCTCTACAGCCACAGGGAGAGCGTTATATTCAGTAGAAAGAATTGAAGTAAGGGCTTTTTCTAGGTTAAGAATGTGTACACTAGGTGAATAAAAACAGTTATCTCCATCAAGAGTCTGAATACGGTAACTTCCTCCTGTACTGATACTAAGGTGAGACCATGAAAAGAGGGAACACAAACATAACAACCTTGCTCCAGAAAGGTCCCTCACAAACTGTTCTAGCTTACAGTTTAGCAGAGCCCTGCTTGCAGCCTGCAAGACCCTGGCTCAGCTCAGAGGAACATGGTCAGATGAGCTGGAACGACTGCACGCTGCCCAACAGCAACTCAACTCCCTCCTACCCCTGTGGCCTTCAAGTATATTTCTGTACCAAAATATTTTCCTTCCTGCTGGAGGTTAAAAGTGTCTCAAGTGAGTCTCATTTACCTCCACATTGTACAGAGATGTACAGTTACTGTTTGCCATAATTCTTCATACTCTAACACAAACAAGTGCTTCTGTGATCACCTCGCTACGGGAAGTCAAGGATACAGCCATCAGGAATAACACGTACTGAGAATCAAAGAAGAAAAACAGATCAAAGGAACAGGAAGAAAGCTAAGCTTATTGCTCATTACTGCCTACAAAGCACCTCTAAAATTAAACTCAGCTCCTTCTGTCATTTCAGGAGCCTCATCACAAGCAGCCAGCCCAAAGCTATCTCGCCAACTGGGAAACCCCTTCTTGTAGACCCTGCCCCCCTCATTCCAGCTCTGCCTACAGGAGAAGAGGGGCAGGGCAGAGCAGGGAGCACGCCGCTCCAGCAGCTCTGGGCTCTTTAATTGACCAAGTCTTTAAGGTTGCTGCTAACAGGAGTTAGTTTCCACAAAAGCAGAAGCCTGGACTGCTCTCCTCTCTGTGCCAGCACCTGGGCAGGCGCTGGCAGAAGACAACACTCTGAGCACACATTCACAAGGAACTAGTCCTCCAGTTCTACAGCAAGGGAGAAAACAGAGCAGAATCGCTAAAGTGAAAATGTTTTGGACAAGCCACATCCCCTCTCAATGCTCTGGATATCATTTTGACATTAGAATGACTATTTCCTGATAGCATGGGAAGAGAGGTCTTCTAGCTGCCTCCCTACTACTACCTCTCTGAAGCTGTCCCATCAGTTAATGTTTACTGATGCTAAAACCTAAAAGATTTAAATCTCTGTTTAAGGTGCTCTAGGAATTTCTGCAAGTCTTCAAATCCACACAGCTACAAAAGCCCTTTTCTTTCAGCTTCAGTGGAAACAGGCAGTCAAATTAGAAGCTATACCTTCAGTAAAACAGATGCCATGGCAGTGACACCTGCTTAGGGTCCAGAAGAGAAGCGTTTAACAGAAAGAGCTGCAGCAGACGCCTGCCTGAAGCAGCAGGGATACTCCTCCAAGCCACACACTTGCAATGCATCGTTTCTGCAGTCAAAAGGCCAGAATTGAGAAAATGCCAATTCCTTTGTCACACGAACCCAGCAGGATGTTCTGCAGCGCTGTCCCATTTGCAGACCACTGATTGCACTCAGCCACCCGCGCCCCTGAGGAAGCTCAAACTGCAGGTAATTCCCAGCTCGTGCAGCAGCACCAAGTCCTACGGGCACAGACACTCCCCAGGGTCATGGGGACACAGCTCTGTCCCATGTTCAACACACAAGACCAGCCAGCCTTCAGCAGTTTACTGGAACAGCTACAAAGTACCATGGGGGTTTCTGAAATTTTTCTATAATATAGAGGTCCAGGATTTAAAACTTATCAATTTCATACATTACCAGGTTTTCCTTCATTTTAGTTAATCCTCCCTAGTGAGGCACAGCAGATGAACTAATACAATTTATTTTGATGGGGAACAGTCAGAGCCATTTGCAGCAGTAAGAAACCACACATACCTTTGCTTCATAAAGGAGAGGTCCGTGAAAACAAAGCACTCGTTCACCTGAAAGAAAATTGCAGATAAACATCTTAGAACACCACCAATGTGCCATTTCTGTAAAATATATGTCATCAGGTACAACACAGAATGAATCCAGTCTCAACCTAGAAAGACATTCAAAGGCAGACACTGTTTTGAGAAACAGGCTGGTGTTTGAGAAGCAAATTCACTCTCATATCCTCTCAAGAGGATCAGAGCTCTGATTATTTAGGTTCCTGAGGACCTCCCTGAAGGGCGCTCGGGCGAGGACAGCCTCATGCAACCCATGTCTGAGCCTGCCCAGAGTTTTGCAGAAGGGCTAGTTACTGCAGCGAGTAACTGGCACCAAAACTTTCACTCCTGCCCACACTTCCAGCCGCTGCCAACTCTAGTCAGAGACCCCTTCTATCCTGCTGCAAGGCTGGCACAGGCCTTGAATTGCAGAGGCAGACACCAAAACACGCTGCCTCAATACAAAGGGACTACTTCAGCCTAAGAACTCAAACAGTGAGCAAGTAAAAACATCTTACTGTAAGGGATTCTTTAGTCTCCATGGAATGGCATTTCGCTTGAGAGCAGGAAATTAGCTCTCCTACGAGCATCACCTCTGCATGTTAAGCTTCTGACACAAATGAAAGCAAGTGTTGTTAGTGCTCCTTTTCCTGCAGGAAGTACATCACCTGCTATTTCTAGTTCAGTGAAGTCAGGAAAAGAGAGAGACCCCGACATTGTTTCCCCATCTGACTTGTGGGACAGAAAAACACCAGGTTGGTGCAACAGCAAGAAAAATTATTCTCTTTGTGGCTTTTAAGTAGGAAAAGATTGTTCTTTAGACTGGGTTCCCCCCCAACAATGGCAAGGTCTAATTGTGCGGTCACCTTGGGGGAATTTGAACAGGATATCTGAGTACAGATGTTTCCTTCTTGAAAGCTGCAGTACCTCACATTTTCAGAGAGACAAGCTACACAATCCATTCCAGGGTGTAGCACACATCCAGTTCTTGCCACTGGTTCCAGGACACACAGAAGAGAAGTATCCCAGTCAGCCCATGTGTGCTGTGCAGCACACATTAGACTGGGTTCCCCCCCAACAATGGCAAGGTCTAATTGTGCGGTCACCTTGGGGGAATTTGAACAGGATATCTGAGTACAGATGTTTCCTTCTTGAAAGCTGCAGTACCTCACATTTTCAGAGAGACAAGCTACATAATCCACTCCAGGGTGTAGCACACATCCAGTTCTTGCCACTGGTTCCAGGACACACAGAAGAGAAGTATCCCAGTCAGCCCATGTGTGCTGTGCAGCACACGTACACAGTCCTGGCAGGGTCAGGGCAGTTACACACTTTATCAGGTGGCTGATGACAAACCACCTGATTTTGCCCAGAGCAGATGAGGGAGGATTCAGACACACCATTTCACCACCAAGACTGGGAGCTACTACCACACTTCATCTGACCTCATGCAGCCCGTGACTGAACAAGATACTATAAATTTACTACTTCATTCCTATGTTGACCAGAAAGAACTGTGCATCTTTGAAGATGTCATTATTATCCAGTCGGTAGGATCCCATGCTCTCCATAGAGCTGGAACAACTAGTCACTGCAAAGTCTAAGAACACAAAGCTATGTCAGAAATGTATTTCAACTGGCAGAATGCTTCTACGTAATTACAAAGAAAAAGGTTTAGAATGGTTCTCACAGAAGTGACCATTTTGATACATTCAGTACTTCAAAAAAAAAAAGTCTTTATAAAGAGGGCTAACAATGAGAATTTACATTATCCTCATATATCACAGTGCTCACAAGTGCTGCTGGAAAACACATCTCTATCTCAATTATTACACAATGGCTTTCTAGGTAAGATGCTCGCACTTACCAAGAATTATTTATAAAAAAAAACCCAACATGAATCTCAGTTTTGCAGAAAGTGTTCTGTTTCCATGATAACCTAACAGGCTCTTGCTCCTGGCCAGCTGACTGCAGACATGCACAAGGCCTCTCCTCTGAATCTGCAGCCCATTCTCTCCTACACACTGCTCAGGCATTGTCAAAGAGCTTCACATAAGGAAAAGCTCCTGGAAGCCAGAATTCAACGATTTTGCCCAGAGCAGATGAGGGAGGATTCAGACACACCATTTCACCACCAAGACTGGGAGCTACTACCACACTTCATCTGACCTCATGCAGCCCGTGACTGAACAAGATACTATAAATTTACTACTTCATTCCTATGTTGACCAGAAAGAACTGTGCATCTTTGAAGATGTCATTATTATCCAGTCGGTAGGATCCCATGCTCTCCACAGAGCTGGAACAACTAGTCACTGCAAAGTCTAAGAACACAAAGCTATGTCAGAAATGTATTTCAACTGGCAGAATGCTTCTACGTAATTACAAAGAAAAAGGTTTAGAATGGTTCTCACAGAAGTGACCATTTTGATACATTCAGTACTTCAAAAAAAAAAAGTCTTTATAAAGAGGGCTAACAATGAGAATTTACATTATCCTCATATATCACAGTGCTCACAAGTGCTGCTGGAAAACACATCTCTATCTCAATTATTACACAATGGCTTTCTAGGTAAGATGCTCGCACTTACCAAGAATTATTTATAAAAAAAAACCCAACATGAATCTCAGTTTTGCAGAAAGTGTTCTGTTTCCATGATAACCTAACAGGCTCTTGCTCCTGGCCAGCTGACTGCAGACATGCACAAGGCCTCTCCTCTGAATCTGCAGCCCATTCTCTCCTACACACAGAATGGTTCTCACAGAAGTGACCATTTTGATACATTCAGTACTTCAAAAAAAAAAAGTCTTTATAAAGAGGGCTAACAATGAGAATTTACATTATCCTCATATATCACAGTGCTCACAAGTGCTGCTGGAAAACACATCTCTATCTCAATTATTACACAATGGCTTTCTAGGTAAGATGCTATGATTGAACAAGATACAACTATAAATTTACTACTTCATTCCTACGTTGACCAGAAAGAACTGTGCATCTTTGAAGATGTCATTATTATCCAGTCGGTAGGATCCCATGCTCTCCATAGAGCTGGAACAACTAGTCACTGCAAAGTCTAAGAACACAAAGCTATGTCAGAAATGTATTTCAACTGGCAGAATGCTTCTACGTAATTACAAAGAAAAAGGTTTTGAATGGTTCTCACAGAAGTGACCATTCTGATACATTCAGTACTTCAAAAAAAAAAGTCTTTATAATGAGGGCTAACAATGAGAATTTACATTATCCCCATATATCACAGTGCTCACAAGTGCTGCTGGAAAACACATCTCTATCTCAATTATTACACAATGGCTTTCTAGGTAAGATGCTCACACTTACCAAGAATTATTTATAAAAAAAACAACAACATGAATCTCAGTTTTGCAGAAAGCGTTCTGTTTTCATGATAACCTAACAGGCTCTTGCTCCTGGCAAGCTGACTGCAGACATGCACAAGGCCTCTCCTCTGAATCTGCAGCCCATTCTCTCCTACACGCTCTCAGGCATTGTCAAAAAGCTTCACAAAAGGAAAAGCTCCTGGAAGCCAGAATTCAACCACCTACTCAAGTGTTTCACAACCAGAGAGTATTTACAGAAACAAGAGTTTCTCAATCTGCGGATCAAGGACCTGCTACAACCACCAACGAAGCCTCCCCACCCAGGCCAGAGCAGGAGGCTGCCCAGCACCTTCAGGACAGACCAGAAAGCACAGACGTCTCACAGGCAGACAAAAAAACCCACAAACTGCCTTAAGCAATTCAAAAGCTGAACTTGACATCTCAGCCTCTTGACATATTTTAAATTTGCTTTAAAAAAAGGCAGTGTCAAGATACAGAACACCTGAAGAACCTACAATGCTTAATTCACAGTTGTCCAAATGCTGATCTCATTTCTCATGCCTCCAGAACAACATCAGTCCCCTCATTTCACAGGGTACTCGTACTTCTAGCTTGACATTTAGATTTTTCTAGCTCCTATAGGCTTTTGTAATAAATTCAGTCTCCTCCTCACCCTTTGTGAAAAATGCCAATATGGACAACTTCTAAGTCTACCTACCACTCTTCAGTGGATGTTTAGCCCGAAAATCTACAATTAAAATATTTTTCATTTGTCTGCTGTAAAGGGCCACAATAAAGCATTTAAGCTTTAGGCCTGCAGGAAGCTTTACTCACAGCACTTTTCCACCTTTCAGTGTTACAAGTGAGACCACAAACACATTTACATTTGTGGGAAAAAGCCTAAACATTTTAATTTATGTACTAAATTTATGTTGCTCATATTCCTACAGCTGTGAACGTAATTTCATCCTGGAATTCTACTTGTTTTAGTTTCTGCAGTCCACTTGATTTCACATTAATTTCACATCAATTTCACATTAATTGTTCTAATGTGAATCGTGCACTAAAATCTTGATTATTTCTGCAGATTAATAACACCACGGGTATTAATGTGTGGCATGGAATGCTGATGCACAATTGAACACGCTCTGACACAAGCAGCCATGAAGCTCATACAATTACAGTGTTGTTCCAGCTACCCCAAATGGCCACCTTCCAGTCATTCTTCTGCAAACTGCGCTTTTAAAGACAAATGACAATTGTGTTGAAAGTCTTGCTGAGAAGCTAAAGCGAGGGACTGGATGAAGAAGTTTTCCTTTACCATTGTCGAAGTGTTTTCATTTACCTGTCAACCACAACCATTATCTAAAAATCAAAATGTATGCAAAGTAAGTCTCAGAAAAAGCACAATCCTAGCCCCTATTCACCTAAAAAAACCTGGTGTTGTGTTGTAAATATGGATTCCACCACAACCACCAGCTGTAGCCCAAATACTGCCCCATGACTTCTCCTGCATAAGGATCCCTAACTGAGCTCCCTTTCAAGGAAGGGTAAACAATAATCACGTTTCAAACTCAAGAAAATAAAAATCCTGGCAGACTTAGGAGATTTCAGCAGCTTTAATGCCAAAGAATGTTCATGCCTGCAAGAAAATGAAGCATATTTAGAATAACAGGGAACAGGAAAGCCCCACATCTTACTGGTACGAAGGATGAGGAACAGGAAGAGAGACAAAGACAAGAGGCTTTCACCTTCTCCACACATTCTCACACTGTGAGGGCTGAGCAGCCAAAGCTAAAAATCAAAAAACCCCCTGTGCCGAGGGATCATAACCACCGGAGCCCACACCCGGCGGAGCTGAAGACCTTACCGAAATGTTGCCTCAGGGCCACAAGCACTGTGGGATGGAGCACCGTAATTATCCTCTGCTTTATTACGACCTGGGGCGGGCAGCGGCTGCCGCCAGCACGGGCCGGCCCATGGGAGCCCCGACGGCAGAGGGACAGTCATTGACCTGCCAGGAGTCCCCCCCCGCGGCCCCCCCGGCCCCTCTGGGGGGAGATGTCCCCGCCGCAGGGACCCCTCGCTGACCCTCTTTAGTACGAAACAGCAGCAGGATTTCTTTTTTTTTTTTTCCGCCCCCTTTAAACCGTTTCCTTTGTTTCTTTTCGACCCACCCACCGCCGCAAAGCCGGGGAAAGGAAGGGGTTTAAAGCCAGGCGCTCCCCAGCGAGATGCGGGGCCCAGCCTCCCTCCCCTCAGCCCCGCTCCCGGCCAGGCCTCTGCCCCCCGCCGCCCCTCAGGCCTCGCCTCGGCCCTCACCCCGCCTCAGGCCCCCCTACCCCACACCACCGCCACCCTGCCCCC